CGAAGTTACGGAAAATTAATTAACACACGGAGACGTAACAGTTATCAATTGAGGAAATACCTGTTAAAAGTTAATAGTGTATTAGACCTGTATAGTAGTTTCAGAGTATATTTAAAATTGTTTGTGAACTAAGGTCTACAAGTTGCGTCTAAGTGAATTTTGCTTACATTTATTTAAGACAAATTATTTTGTTATTGTTACATGGACTGGAATTCGCATTATCTTTTTAACGATAATCTTAAAAGAACACGCCCAACAATAGAATACGTTCTAAAAATAATGAAAAACATTATTCACAGTAGTTGTGATTAAACTTTCTTCTAAATATAATCCTTTATCAATTTCTTCTTCACAAAGCTGGAATCATGAGCAAATAATGTTCCCTATATAACGCAGACTATCCAGGTGTTAGTAAGTGTACAATATCATATATGTTCATACACCCGTTGTTTTGAATAAAGTTTCTAAATAAATTTCACATATAAGATTGGCGAACATGCATTAAATACTAAAAAAAAAAAAAGAAAAAAGGTGACATGTTTATGATTGCTAAGACCTGCTTTTCTAAATACCTTTCACACCAAGATATACATTACCATTTCGACTGTGTACTTTGAATCTTAAACTTATTAGCTGATTTGTGTGTGTTTGTTTTCGTAAAACAAAGCCACATCGGGTTATCTGCTTTGTCCACAGAGGGGAATCGAACCCCTGATTTTAGTATTATAAATCTGAGGGACTTGCTGCTTTTAATATATGACGCTTGTGGTTTTTTTATTTTTTTTTTAAGATCAGAGTAAGTTGTTCTGTCCATGTGTGTCACTATGCCATATTTCCCTATTTGTATGTGACCCAATGTCAAATATACAAAACATCCTATGACGGGAAATCAGGGATATAAAAATAAAATATATTTCGTCTTCTGTAGAACATGTGATCTGTGACGCTGCAAAATCTTAAAATCGGTGTATAATGAAACGTTCTGGTTTAAATAAAATGTTCCGTATTCTAGAATTGCATTAGTTGTCATTTCTCAACAAGTTTCAATTTTTAGCCAGCTGAACCAGACGAAGGATGCAGGATGTAACCTAAAGATTCTTATAAGATATATATATATATATATATATAACCCGACTTTTCCCTCTTGTATTTCCTCTGAAACTTTTATTGATGTTATGATTTTAAATTATATATTTAGAAACGTAACTCACAAAATATTACTTATACAAACATACTTTATAGTTTTCTGTAAGATTACAGAGGACGCTCTTACGTCAGCTGATTTAGAAAAAAAAGAAAGAAATGTAAGTGACGTTTTATTCATTTCACGAAGTGTCTTGGAGCAGCTGCATTTATTCTTTAAACGTAGTACTTACAAAATTGTGAGGCACAGAAAATATTTCTACATGTGGATACCATAGCACGGCATGAGGATTTGTTGTAGCCTGCTGAATGTAAAGTATTTTTGAAAAGTACAATAAAAACAAAGAGAAAGAAACCTTAAGAATAGTGACTTTGGATGTAAACTTAATATTGGCTATGTAACCTGTACGATCTTCCCTTTTAATGATATTAATAAAATACACTGCATGATTTGTATTTGAGTGGACGTGAATTGTAATTTCTATAATATTTAACAAATTGAAATCATCAGAAATGGCAGCGAGATGGAGTAGTGAGAACATTGTTGTGGAACATCGAGAACTACAGGTACTTATAAAATTTGTAAAAAGTTACTTTAAATCAGGTTTCACAAGTTAGGAATGTATTTCATTTATATAAAGTTGTATATACCATTTATTTGATTCTGTTGTTGTTAGCGTTAGGAACATTTCTGTCCATGCCTAATAGTAACACTACTACTAGAATTATTACTATTTTTAATGTGGTGTTGTGACCCTAACAGTAACAGTGTTTTCACTAAATTAAATTTACAGTGTTATTGTTTATTTTACAAAGGACTTGGAACTTTTTATTTTAGTAGTAGTATTATATTAACAAATTACAACATGTCAGCGTCACTAACGTTAGGAAAATTAAAGTGTAAATTTACTTCGATAAAACTGGTTGACATCACAATGAATATTTTACATCCAGTTTTTCATTGCCAGTATTGGAGATAATATTTCTACTCCCATAATGATAATTGGAATGTTCTGGACATTTGGCATTGTTGGAATGTAAACATAAAAAGATTCAAATTTGTAAGTAATTTATTATATCAACATTTTGGCTTACAACTTTATTGTAATCTAATTGTATGGTCAAGAAAAACTGGCAGTGTAAGAGACTGCGAATACCTGCGAATATTTTAGTCACATTTAATTTTCAGCAGTGGAACCTGTCTAGAATTGTATGATTCTATGATGCTGTCATAGGAGTCGAAACAGAAATAATTATGAAGTTTTAAGATTGATTACAAATTTGGGAATAAAAAATATGAATGAATTTAATGAAAAAATTATAAAAATAGAGTCATACTACAAAAAATTTGTTGTAGTTGTCAGACATCTGAAATGTAGTTGTACTTGTAGTATTTTTTTCTGAGAGATTTAGACTTCTTGCTGAGTTGGTCACTTTGCTTTTTAATCGTAATAAAAGTAAGGTTATGTATATTGGAATGATCACAATGGGGAAGGGAGCATTTTGGAATGGATGGTTTACATTTAAATATGGTAGAGGCTGGTTTGTTTTCAAGGGCTATGAACTCGACTATAAGAGCAGTCTTAAACTAGGAATGGACAGTGGTGAGGGCCAAAAGAAAACTAAATGCAGAAAAAATAAGATTTAGAGAAGTGTAGTGTAGGAAGAAAGTACAGAGATAATTTTAAGGGTAGGTTAAATTGTTACTACTGCAATGCTAGAAGTACAAGAAATATATTATAATAATAATATAATACAAGAGTACTGGTTGGAACAGAGGATTTCAATATAATGGGAATAACTTGGTTAAATATAGAAATATAGTTCTTTAAAATACATGTTATACGTTATTCAATAGGGATAAAGTACTAAAGAGAGACAGTGGGGTGGCTCACTAAATAAAATGTGAGTTAAATCATGTTGAAATTTAGGATATCTAAAGTAAAAGCAAGGAGATTGAATCTCTTTTAACAGATGTAGGAGAAGAAGTTGTTCAGTGGGAGTTTGTTACAAACCATCAGATGAAACTGATGAAATTAATGAGAAACTCTGAAGTGAGATTAAGTTTCAGCCATTAATCAGGTCATAATTATGGATAATTTTAATTTCAGTATATAGATTAAGAGGTTTTTAGAGTCAAACCATGAGGGAGACAGGTTTTTAGAACTGTTCAGGATAGTTTTCTTCACCAATTGGGCAGGGAACCTATTAAGAACAAAGCTATTTTAGATTTATTGTTAATCTTTAATATAGGTATGATTTAGAGGGTGAAAAATGGGGAACATCTGGGGGGGCAAGTGATGTTGCCTTATTAGGTTTAGTGTTTTGCTCTAAGTGGAGATCAGGAACATTAACATTTGGTTAGAAAAATTTCAAAAAATAAATTTTGAAGGAATGTGGCAAGAATTATGTGTTATGAATTGAGCAGCTGAATTAAGTGGAGACACTTATCAAATGAAGAAAACTTAAATTCCTAATATTAAAGGTAGAAATGTTCCTTATAGAAAAAAAAAAGGAATGAAGACAGATTAAGATGTGAATTTTTAAAAATATTTTCTGAAAAGGGGGGTTAGCCTTTAGAATGGGTTGTCTGTAAATGTGGCGAAATCAGTAAATTTAAAGGGACAAGACTTGATAAATATTTGAATCATAAAAGTTGGTTTTGAGCTTATATATAGTTTACTTAATGGGACGACCTAGATGGACCAACAGGTCCATGGTTGTCCTTAAATGTTGTGTTATCACAACATTAATTATTCTTATAGCCTTGCGGGGGAAATTATATGAAGATGATAAGAAAAAGTAACTGGGCATAGTCATTAAAAAGTCTGTAAAGACTTCTAGAAAATAAGTTGTCTAACAATAAGAAAAACAGGACTTTAATTGGTATGTATTGAAATTTTATGTACAAGTTGAAGATGGTCATCAGTTCATTATGTAACATAACAAATATACAACAAAGGACCATTTGGTGCTTCAAGACTGTCCATGCACATCCACCATTGAGTAAAGTAAAAATTCAAACCCATTCTTTATTTTTCTGGAAATTGTTTCCCCTCTTAAACTCCTATCAAATGCCAGCTTCACATTTCCCTGATGACAACTCATTTTATAACTAAGCTACCATTTTAGAAAAATATAACTACCAGAACTAAGGCCTAGCCTGACATTTTGAAATCTTCAACAAACTGGCATATAATTTCTTGGACAACTCTTATCAGCTCCTTCAAACATTAGCAACTTTCCAATCCTCAGGCACCTGTCTGTTGTCTATTGACCTAGCAGTGAAAAAGGCTTGCATATCTGATCTTTGAACCTCCTCTAAATCTCCAGGGAAAAGAATTTTTGGGTCAGGGTGCTTTATTTTAATCAATGGTACTCAGACTTTGCTCTTTCAGGATTTAAACAGAACACATTTGGTTTGCATACAAAATTTGTGAAGAGAGTTGGTTTGTATTCAGATATTTTAATTTTCTTGTAAGACAAGCTACTGTTCTCTTCTCATTCAGTTCAGGAGTTAATGGAGCTTTTGCATAAAAAAAAAAAAAATTCAAAATCACACAATGTCTAAAAATAATATACAGATAGTTTTATTAATATGCTAATTAGCTCATGCTGAAGCAAAGGCATAAAAATCAATAAATAACTATAAGCAAAAAAAATGAGGTACAAAAAATAGTATCTTACAAAATAAGCCTTAAATGATGCAAGATTAGATTTTTCTTGTCTAAAGTATTTCATAGTTTTTGTATGGAAGTTTATTCAAGTTCTATATTTAAAAGTATACAGACCCTAAAATAGATAAGAAATATTAAGATTATTTCTTATCTATATTTCATACATTTTTTTATTAATATATTGGAGAAGATTCAGTTAAATGTGAAGTTAAAATGAATTGTTTTTAGAAATATATGCACTGAAAATTTCCTTTAGTCATGGAAGAAATCTTAAAATAGTTTCTTGATAAATCCAGTAGTAAAGTGGATTCTTTAAATAATATTACACTGAAGTGTTGTGTTTAAGTGGCTGTAACAGAGTTAAAATATAAATATATTAAGATATACAAGAAATATATGCATTGACTTCTAATATTATCCTGATTACTTCTGTGATTTGAAGGCAACAACCATGGCTTTAGACTGTACAGGACAGTATGTGGTGCTTGCAGGGTAAGTTTGTAGATCTGTTTATGAGTTAGTTATGCAGTTGTAAACTGTACAGGACAGTATGTAGTACTTGCAGGGTAAACTTATAGAGACCTGTTTGTAAGTTAGGTATATGGCTGTAGACTATAAGGGGTGTTGCAAAATAAATCATACTTTTTTCCCTGAGAGCATAACAAAGTAAAATAAGATTTTAATTCAATCAAAAAAAATAATTCCAAGTATCAATATCACTTGATTGGGCCACCATTGTTCTCACGCATGAGTTTCAATGGATTTGCACAAGATAGCAATGCAACAAACATGTCTGTCTTTGTGGCTGTCTCTGATGACATCAGTGAGAACACAAATCAAGGTTTCACATTTGTGTCTCTCGCATTCAGGCAAAGTTTCCAACATTTCTTCTGTGCATTTTTGAATGAAATCTCTGACATTTTCGGTGGAATTTAAATCTGGAGAGTTCCCAATCCAAATTTTCATGGACCAATTTTTCAAATTCAACAATTCTGAAACTTTTGAGGCATTAATCGGATTTGTCAAATCTAGCATTGCGATGTGTCGATTGGAAGACTTGAATTCTCGGACCATGTCTGCAACTAGATTCTGAGCCATCCTGAAGGCAGCACATACGACATGAACCTGAGTTCTAGTGAGCACCATGATTATAAAGTTTTTGCAAAAAATTAAATTTGAAGAGTCAAACACCCAAGAGTATGTTGAAATGACGTTTTCTCACAATTGATGATATTCGCAGTCCTACCAAGATTGTCATTACTTTGGGAAAAAAGTGATTTATTTTGCAACACCCATTAAGACAGTATATGCTACTTGCAGGGTAAGTTTGTAAATCTGCTTACAAGTTAGGCATGTGGCTGTAAATTCTATGGGACAGTATGAGTAAATTTATAGACTAAGTACAATGTGCACAAAAGACAAATGTGTTGCATTATTTGTTAGAATATATATATATATATATATATATATATATATATATATATATATATATAGTATAGTAGTACAAACAACAACACACACAC